CTTTTTATCCCTGAAAAATTTGATATTCTCGAGGGAAAACGAAATCATTGGTATAGATGGCGCTGTGTATATTGGTATATGTCACATAGGCTACTTTTTATTCTTTTGTGACGCGAGCGAAGCCGCGGGTAAAAGCTAATAAATGAATAAAAAGAAATCCATTAAATACCCGCGGTAATAGCAGAAATAGTGATTGATTCTACTCTGCCGTGACAACAGGTCTTATGGAAATCTTGTTATTGAATAACAAGTCTAGTAAGTACCATAAATAAAGCAGATATTCTCAAAATCACGTCTCCGATCTGACGTCAGTTCAAAATTTAAATTAATAAATAAAAGAAACTTGTTCGCAGTCGAAATTTTGATTTAGAATTAAAAAAAAATGCAGGTACCAATACACGTGTTGAATCGGCACGTGATTTTGGCACTTCACGGTTGACAAACAGGATTTTCGGAAATTATACCATTGTCGTTATATGTATAAATTAATAGAATACACCTTGACCTCCATTAATATTAATGCTGTAAATAGCGATTTTCTAATCGATTTCGATTATATACTTACGAAGACCAATATCAACAGATCTTAACTACAGAAGTAATTGATGAAAATAAGTTTTTTTTTATCAAAATTAGTCTACTGTCCTCATTGCCTGGATGACCACTCGAATAATAACATAACATAACATCACGCCTTTTATCCCCGAATGTAGGCAGAGGTGCACATTATGCCACTGTACAATGTAATGTACTTTTCACTATTTATGTAATGACTCCTATGTAATAGGGGGTGAGCCTATTGCCATATACCCGGCACGATTTGAGACTCCGTGCTACTACTGAGATTTTTTTAAAAAACCCAGTAATACACTGCCCAATCCGGGAATCGAACCCGAGACCCTTTGACACACTTGCGACCACTCCCTAATTATAAAACAATTATTAATATGTAATATAAAGTGACTCCTCTGGTGTTGCGGATGTCCATGGGCGGTGCTGATCGCTTATCATCAGATGATCCGTCTGCTCGTTTGCCTCCTATACCATAAAAAAACTCTTTGTTACGTGAGACCCATAACGATATCTGAAAAAACATTGTATCATATTAAAACTTGTATAAATACTTCTCTCTGCTCACGCCATTACTAGTATAAGGAAGTCGTGTTGCTATTAGTTCATGCCTAACCTTTAAGGAGAAGGAGCTCTATATATATATGTATATTACTTAACAAGCTGCACGCGCGACTTCATCCGCGTGGAAATACTAACTTAAGTTACTCCTTATACATCAGCCACTTAAACAGATAAAAATTGTAAAGAATTTTATTTTGGTGCATGTATATATCCTATGTATGTATATTCATATGCATAACTTACATGACTGTACGCCTTTTATCCCCGAAGGGATGGGCAGAGGTGCACATTACGGCACATAATGCCACTGTACAATGGAACATTTCCTTTTCACGATTTTATGTTATGAGTCCCATGTAATACGGGTATTCCTATGCATGTAACAGACACTCTGATTTTATTTACATGAATTTATGTATCTATGTATATGTATGTATGTATGTCTGTATGTCTGTATGTATGTATATAAGTATGTATTTTTATATGTATGTCTAAATGTATAGATTAGTTACACGTTAACCTTGGGTACCTTCTGAGTAACTATTATTGATAAATACGAATTGCTGTTATCCGTCTTTACAAACTTACTCGTGATACTTACTGCATTAATTATAACCGGATAATGACTGATCTGATTGTAGCTATCAATATGAATTTAAAGCGGGATGTTCTCACAAAGCAACTTAGTAAAATGATGATGTTAAAAATATGGGAAACTCATAAAAATAATTACATTTGCAACAAAGATGGCCGTCTGATGGTAATTGATAACCTTACTCTAGATAATATACAACGTTGTGTTGTGTTTCGTCGTGTGAGTGAGGTTACCGGAGGCCTAATTACCCCCCCCCCCCCCCTTTCCCAAATCCCCAACAATCCTCAATTTCCTAATCCAGAAGGCCGGTAACGCACTTGTAACACCTCCGGTGTTGCGTGTGTTCATGGGCGACGCCGATTGCTTACCATCAGGTGATTCGTATGCTCGTTGACCAACTTATCCCATAAAAAAAAATTAATTACTTTTCCTGCCTTAAGTGAGGCGAGAAGGAGTGTCAGACTGACTGAAACCACACCTCAAACTGAGAACCTACTTCTATTTTGAAGTCAGTTTATAAAATCTGTGGTCGATGCATGAAAATCTATGTATGTTCACAAGAGGCAAAAAAACCGTCCAATATTATACATTAAAGGCTTGCATAATTTACAAAATCGCATTAATTTAATAAAAAATCACGGAAATACTTCATTACATTTTTTTTATTGTTTAAATGGCCTATATATAAAAAAAATTTTAATGATTGTATATACCATAAAATAATGTTTCAAACTGGTTTCACATCCTAATCGTAAAAAGAGTATTAAATATGAGAAATCCGTAATCCATAAAACCGGAAAGATAAGTAATAAAAATATCTGTTTACAAGGGTTATTGTAAATTAAAACACTACATATTACATTAATGAGTTATTTCCACGATTAAGCAGTAAGTTTTTTTATTCGAAATTATCATAATATGTAATTCTTCTTAAAATACCTACATGTAAATGCTGCTCCCGCCTGGGTGAGGCGGGAGCAGAGCGGAGCGAGAACCTAACGGGTTACCAGGGCTCCGGCACGACGTGCAGGAGAAGGAACGGGGTGGTTTTTAGTCAGTAAGTGTCTGACACTCCCTCCCGCCTCACCCCGGTGGGAGCAGCCGTTCGATGATTTTCCCCCCTTAAAAAACCATATTAATCGTAAATTTCATAGTAACGTACCATAAAATATATTATAATGATTTATGATGTTATATAATCAATAGATAGATAACGTTCGATAGTTATTAGTTACCATTATTTTAATCACACGCCATTAGCTATTAACACTGATACGCTATTTTATCAAGTAGATGTTAATTACTGAGAATAATATTTAAATAGGTTTTCGAAAATTCTAGGTAGCACTGAGAGTATACAATTATTCCTTATACTGTTTTTTATGGGATAAGCCGGTAAACGAGCAGACTTATCACCTAATGGTAAGCAATCCGCGTCGCATGCTTTACGACATATTTGAGGACTATAGGGGATTCGGGCAATGGGGAATTTTGGAAGGGGGTAATTGGGCCTCCGGCAACCTCACGCGCAGTTTCACGTCGGTTTTCTGTGAGGCCGTGGTATAACTTCGGTCGAGCCAACCCATTCATGTTGAAGCATGGCTCACGTTTAATGCATTTTGCACCTTACTTAACTCGTCGAGTACCGGTTTTATAGACACAATTAAAGAACAATAGGTCGCGGTCACCGGTGACCGCTTGGTGTTTGACAGTTTAAAGGGTGTTACGTGACATTATTAACAGTAACAGTCCAATACCAGGTACTATGTCTTTTTAAACATATTAATAAGTAGTAGGCATGTCGTGGTGGCCCGGAGTTTTAAGAGCTTCTCATGCATGAGGGTTCGAAACCTACCAACGGCAAGAACCAATGTGACTTTTTCGAGTTATATATACTTTCTAAGATTATCTAGACACCACTGACAAACGGTGAAGGAAAACATCGTGAGAAAACCTGGGCTTATAATTTCTAATTACAAATTTATAATCGCTAACCCGCATTGAGCAAGCGTGTCAGAAGAGGCCTTGCTTAGCAGTGGGCATTTATAGGCTGTTGATGATGATGATAATAATTATGAAGCAATACCAATAATTATAACAAAATAAAGATACAAAATATGCGTTGCTACTTTCTTAATATACTTACGTTTGCTTTACAAAGAACAGGTTATTATGTATTCTATTTTGTCATCATATTGCGATCTCTTAGAACTAAGCTCGCAAAAATGAGCAAAACAAACACTAGGATTTGGTCATCGACCACCGACAACCAGTTGATTACACAACCAACTTGTTATTAGTGCTAGAACCAAATGGATTAGATAACACTATTCCAACTGGAGAATAGAAAAAAGAATGTTTTAAAATGACATTGACATTAAAAAAAATGTATGTCAAAAGTCGTGAAATAATTTGTGAAATGTCTTATTTTTATTTATTTATTTATTTATTTATGTACACACATTCAACACAGAGGACAATACATATATAAAAACAGAGTAAATAGGTCCCACATATTCCAACTGGAATCTCTTTCAGTGTAATTATTATTAAGTAATAAACTACGTTTAAAAATGGGTTGAAGTCGGCTTTAACCCCCTCTTTTCTTAAAGTCAGTTGATTAATATAATTAAACCTTCTCCTAAGTGTAACAAACACTTTTTTGAAAATCGCATCAACATCGGTTCAGGTAATCGCGAGATAATATGTACAAACTGAGAACCTTCTTCTATATTAATGTAAATGAAGCTGTCCGTTCTTCATTTAAATTAGAATTTCCCGCGCCTTGGATTCATACGCTATCTGTGGACAGCAAACTTGTATTATCCTATGCTTGTGTGTAAAAATTTTGGTGAATCTTTTTAATTATTGGTAAAATAATAGAAAAATATTAAAGCAGTAGCTTTTAACTCGTCGAGTACCGGTTTTATAGACACAATTAAAGAACAATAGGTCGCGGTCACCGGTGACCGCTTGGTGTTTGACAGTTTAATGTACTTTCTTATTTTGTGACTTAACCGTTAATAAAATAATTACTTATTTATGTAGAGTATTTTTAGTTAAGTTATTTGGCGTTAGAAAAATCAGCCGATAGACATACTAAATTAATGATGATTGACAGTTTTCCAACGTAACTGTATGACGCGCTATTTTGACTAGTTTCGAGCCAGGCCGGGGCTCATAGCCATAAGTAAAATTACACGACTAAAAATTTTTGGCTGCTAATTAACTCATGCAACTAGAAAATAACAATTTTGGATAATCCTTTCAGGCAGGGTGTACTTGGAGAAGACGTTGATATCATGCAAGGGTTCCGTGGAGAAGGCGAAGAAGCAAATAGACCGGCTGTGCACTATGAAGACGCTAAACCCAAAATTCTTCACAAAAACCAACGTGAAAGCGGAATTGCAAAACATTTTGAGAGTTGCGTAAGTTATTTTTTTACCATATTTTATTGACAAGAGTTATTGGAATAAATTAAATACTTACTGTTTTATATACATAAACAGTTATAATTTTGTTTTACTGCCTTGTTGGCCGAGTGGTCAAGCCATTGGACTGCCGGACAAGCGTTCTCGGGTTCGATTCCCGGGTTGGGCGAAGTATAGGTACTGTTTTTTTAAATAATATGCAGTAGTAGCACGTAGTCTGAAATTGTGTCCGGTATATGGCAATAGGCTCACCCCCTATTACATGGGACTCATAACATAAATAGTAAATTGTGGGTGTTAGGTACGTTGTACCTCTACAGTGGCATTTAGTGCCGTAATGTGCACCTCTGCTTACCCCTTCGGAGATAAAAGACGTGATGTTATGTTAATTTTATTTTATTAAGAACAACAAACAGCAGTATATTAAACTTAACACTTGAATGAAGAAGTAAAATAATAGATTTAACAAATACACAGCATAATAATCAACTGCTTAGCAACGTCTTGCATGCTTGATTTTTACGCGACAAATCTTTATAAGACCAACAAATTGTAGATACAGGTTTAAATCCCAAAATCCTGATACGTTACTTTTTTCCAAGATACCAAAAGAGATGAAAGAATGAAATAATTTCCTTCCCGTAGTATTTGCAGGTAACTACGTAACTCGAATGACTGATGGGAGTTTAACGTGTTAATTAGACAAATTGTTTATTAATTTTGAATCTATTCCCAATTTTCAGATTGCTGATACCTCTGCCTACCCTAACGGATGACTACTACCGAGTGCTGCTAGTCAAAATAAGAAGCTTCGACTTGACTTCTGAAAGTTTCATGCTGTACTTTCAGTATTGTTTAATTGTAAGTATAATTTGAGTATTCATAGGTACTATACCTGTCGCGGAGAACCTAACGGGTTACCGGGGCTCCGGCTCGACATGCAGGAGAAGGAACGGGGTGGTTTTTAGTCAGTAAGTGTCTGACACTTCCTCCCGCCTCACCCAGGAGGGAGCAGTCATTAGATGATTTCCCCCCTCTTAAAATAAATTGGTGCTATACCTCTATTCGTTTTTATGAGACACATACAAAGAGAAAGACAAAGGCAAAGATTATTTATTTGCAAAAACACGTGTGAAATAATAATAATACATCATAGAATGCGCATTATAAGTTGTACAGATGAGCAGTGAGCATAGTATCAATATGTTTGACCATTTCTGGTGTACAAATGTGGAATATAATATTTAATCTAATAATAACAGTAATTAAACTTTCAATTGTAACATTCCTATAAGAGACTCAAACCTCCTGACTAGGGTAATCAAAGAAAAATTACAAACACTTGTCATTTACAAAGTCATGAATGCTATAATAGCATTTATTAAATAGCAGTTTTTTCAACGCTTTTTGAATAAGTTTAAATTTAATTTTATAATTTCTTTAGGAACATAACATAACATAACATCACGCCTTTTGTACCCGAAGGGGTAGGCAGAGGTGTACATTATGCCATTGTAAAATGTAACACCCACTTTTCACTATTTATGTCATGAGTCCCATGTAATAGGGGGTGAGCCTATTGCCATGTACCAGGTACAATTCCAGATTCCGTGCTACTACTGAGCAGTTTTTTAAAAACCCAGTAATAGTTTGCCTGACCCTGGAATCGAGATCCCTTGCGCGGCAGTCGCACTTGGGACCACGAATTTTGTTATAAATCATGGGAGCCATACGTATAACGCTTTTGAGCATTAGTGCTGTTTTAGATGGGTGAATGTTGTCACGTCGATTTTATATGTCGCAGGTCTCACGCTAGCACGATGCGTTTGCGTCTATGATGAAGCGGGAAATATAATCATGCGGTTTGAACAGAGGCCCCTAGTCACATAACATAGCTCCCGCTTAACCCACATTGATTGTAAATTCAGAATTTAAGGTTTTATAAAACGTGCCTAGAATGGACACAATCTCATTAGAGGTTAAATCCTTACTTCCTTACTTATATTATAAATCGGAAAGTCAGTTTGTTTGTTTGTTTGTTTGTTCCGCTTTCACGACGTAACTACTGAACCGATTGCTTTGAAAATTTGCAGAGGTAAAGTTAGAAGTCTGGATTAAATAATAGGGTACTTTTTATCCCGGAAAAATTTGATATTCCCGAGGGACAACAAAAGTATTGGCATATATCACATAGGCTTTTTATCCTTTTATGACGCGAACGAAGCCGCTGGTAAAAGCTAGTAATCAATAAATTTGTTTTATTTTCAGCTGTGCGAGTACATAAAGGCTAATGACTACGTGAACGGTTTCATCATAATATACGACTGCCGAGAGCTGAACATGTTTGATGTGGTGTCCAAAATGAGCACTGTGGAGCTGCAGCAGTTTATAACTATTTTGATTGTAAGTCATTCAATTGAAAATCAACAACAACTTCTTCAATCTCTTTCTTCTTCGCATCAGACTTCAACTTCAACGTATTAATTCTATTTACACGATACTCATATTTGCTTATATTACGTCTGAGCAACCGGAACATAATCATGCCTCCTCCGACATCAGAAGAGGGAAGATTATTGCCGCCTTCGACATCTCTTACTCTTTCATACGATTCTTCAATAAAATCATTTTGGAAGAAGCGTAGTGCTTGTTGCTAATGATATGGAGAAGAATGAGCAAGAAGCCATTATTTCCTTCTTTTGTACAACTTCTTTCTATATTGAGACATAGAAGCCATGCTTTGGCACAAATAGGCCGGCACGACCGGAGCGCGAACGACAGCCTCACAGAAAACTGACGTGAAACAACGCTTGCATTGTATTTCGTTGCGTGAATGTTCTGTAAGCAATTGCAAATCTCCCTAACCCCCGAATCCTAATCAATACTCAAATCCCTAATCCCCAAAAGACCGGTAATGCACTTGTAACACCTTTGGTGTTTGGTGTCCATGCAGCGCCGATTGCTTACCATCAGGTGATGCGTCTGATAATTTACCGGCTTATTCCATAAAAAACAACCGTCGCTTTTTCTCTTACTTCTATCATAACATGATATCACGCCTTTTATTCACGAAAGGGTAGGCAGAGGTGCACAATTACGGCACTTAATGTAACACCCACTTTTCAACTATTTATGTTATGAGTCCCATGTAATAGGGGGTGAGTCTATTGCCATACACCGGGCACAGTTCCAGACTTTGTGCTGCCACTGAAAAATCAGTAATACTTTCCCCGAGTCGGGAATCGAACCCGAGACCCCTTACCCGGCAGTCACACACAACCACTCGGCCAATGAGGCAGTCTTTAGTTCTATCATCATCTTATACTATAAACCGAAAGAGTTTGTTTTTTTGTTTGTTTGTTTGAACGCGTTAATCTCCGTAACTACAAGTCTGATTTGAATAATTCTTTTTGTGTTGGATAGCGCATTTATCGAGGATGGCTATAAAACATCATGCTATGACCATTGGGAGCTGAGCATAGCGTGTAAAGCCGCGCGGTAGTAGATAGAATAATCAATGGTTGTTTTGATACAAGCCTTTATATTTACAGGAAGGCTACGGCGCTCGAATGAAGAGTATTCACATCTTGACAGAATCCAAAGCTATAGAACTGATCATAAACACAGTGAAACAGTTTATTAGTGAAAAGGTTGGCAATAGAATGTACGTCCAACGTACTTTAGAAGATTTACATAAAGATGTGCCTAAGAATATCTTGCCTGTCGAGTATGGTGGCACTGAAAAATCTCTGGACATTTTGCAAGGTAATGGTCAATACTTTGATTTCAAAGTTAAGCTCTACAAAGTAATAAACATAAGATATAGATATGTCGCGGTGGCACGGAGGTTTAAGACGCCCGCTTATCATGCATGACAATGTAGGTTCAAAACCTACCAACGGCAAGTGTTAATGTGACTTTTTTCAAGTTGTATGTGCTTTCTGAGATTATTAAGACACCTCTGAAAAAGGGTGAAGGAAAATATCGTGAGGAAACCTGGGCTTAAAATTTCTAATTATAAGTTTGAAATCGGAAACGCGCATTGAGCAAGCGTGGTGATTAATGCTTAAAGTTTCTCCGTGTAAGAAGAAATCTTTGGTCAGCAGTGGCCACTTACGGGCTAGTAATGATGTGTAACATAAGATAACAACGAATCCCCTATATATTTTTTTATAATAACTGTCGTGAGACATACTGAATGAAAGGCTCTCCTAGTGTCGAGTCACAGAAGGACTCTCCATGATGGCGATACATCTCGAATCCCCGAAAGGGTATACCAATAGCACTAGATGAATTTGTAGTTAACCAAGTCGTTTGGTGGTTGGGCTTTCAATGGTCTGTTTTTGGAAACTGCTATAACCTCATGGATATTTTAGTGCTTCTTTATATTAGTGGTCCTTTGTGATTGGGATAAGCAATAACCATTATATTATAGAGCACAATACCAGACGTCGTGGTGCTGTGAAATTTTCAACTACCCCTAATCACCCTGAAATTGAACCCCCTTTTTAAGTCAATAAACAAGACAGTATTAGAAAACTGTTGTGGTTCTTTCTTCAAAAGGCCAGTACAAAAAGAACTTGCACGGTTCTCACACATTATCTTGTATACATTATTTGTCTGGACTTTAAAAGAGACAGACCTCTGAGTTTGTTTCGACATTTCTGACATTTCTTTTCAGAGTAGTCAGTTAGGAAATGTCGACCTCATCGTTCGCTTGATAAAATTGACGTGTAAAAGTGCTGCCTTGTAGCCTATTTGCAGAAACAAATTTACTTGTTTCACTTGAAGAATGTTTCAGTGAAATACACAAATAATTGATTTATTTTATGATTTCAGAGGAAATGGTGAGGGAGTTGAGCAAAGAAGAATACGTAGATTACGTGAAAATGATGTTTAATGCTCGCACAGAAGAAGGAAAGAGAAACGCTGGGAAGTTCAACGAGGAATATCTAGGCATGCCTGGATCTTTCAGAGCTTTGAGTGTTGACTAAGTTGATAATTACAAATCTTTGGTCATGTATTTAAAGTTACTAGCTTATACCTGTGGCTTCGGTTGCGTTATTATGTTTAGTAGAGATATTTTAATCTGATAAAGCGTAACATAACAGATCGTCACGCTTTTCATCCAAAAAGGGTAGACAGCGGAACTCGATAATCCATGCTTTCACTGGCTTAGAAAAATTGGAGTATCACACCGGAAACCCATTGTCGGGCAAAGTATTACTGGGTTTTTAAAAAATCTCATTAGTAGCACGGGCTTTGGAAATGTGCCCGGTATGTGACAATAGGCTCACCCCCTATTACATGGGACTCATAACATAAATAGTGAAAAGTGGGTGTTACTTCTGTGTGCACCTCTGCCTTCAAAAATAAAAGGCGTGATGTTATGTTAAATTATTTACTAACGCAAGCGAAGTCAAGTCTACAGCTAAAGTATTTGCTGCTCATTAACTTTTTGCTTTTAGTAATATTAGATGGAAATATTGGGTTTTCTTGACGGATATTTCTTAGTTATAAGATTAAAATTAAATAAAATATTAGGAAAAATCAACATTTCTTTGTATTACAACTTTCATGAGATATACTAAATTAATTACTATGTTTTTTATGGATTTTTTTTAAGAGGGAATACATCGAATTACTTCTCCCGCCTGGGTGAGGTGGGAGGGAATGTCAGACTCTTACTGACTAAAAACCACCCGTTCCTACTTATGCACTTCTAGCCGGAGCCCCGGTAACCCTTTAGGTTCTCCGCGGCTTTTTTATGGAATAGGAGATAAACGAGCAGACGGATCACCTGATGGTGAGCGATCAGCGCCGCCCATGGACACTCGCAACAACAGAGGAGTCATAAGTGCGTTGCCGGCCTTTTAAAAAGGAATACGCTCTTTTCTGGGAGGTATGAAGGTTTTTTCTTTTTATGTCTTTTGGCTTACTTAATAAGACACTGTTTGATGAGGTACTCGACTAGTTTCAAGCCATGCTTATATTCATTATTGGCGGATATCACCATCAACAGCACTAGTTCTGAGTCTCAAAATATCCACTGCTGGATATGGACCTATTCTAAATAGGAGATTTTCACCAATTATGTTATGAGACTGACGTGATAAGATCTCAGTTAATGGTCATACACAATACACGTGTAGTGATGGCCCGTAGGTTTGAGACGCCCGCTTTCCATGCATCGGGGCGCGGGTGAAACCTACCAGCGGCCAACGTGACTTTTTCCGTGTGATATGTACTTTCTAAGATTATTCAGACACCACTGACAAACGGTGAAAGAAAACATCGTGAGGAAGCCTGGGCTTGTAATTTCTAAATACCAGTTTGAAATTGCCAACTCGCATTGAGCAAGCGTAGTGATTAATGTTTAAACCTTCTCCGTGTGAAAAGAGGCTTTTGGTCAGCAGTGGCCACTTACAGGCTGTTGATGTGTGTAGGGCCATACATAGAGTACAATTGGGTAGTTTCCAGGGTATCAAAATTAAAAATCTAATTAGTCCATCAGTTAGATAATGAAAAAATGTTAGACATGTATTTTTTTATTTTCTCGTATTTAGTTGCAATACTTAGATAAAATGGGGCTAAGTTTAGGAGTGGGAGGTCGTTACGTCATAACGTGCTTTAAAATGAGACACGCTGTGACGTCATACGATATTTCAAATTAATATTATTATATCGTCGAAAGTATTTAGTTTTGTGAGAAAAGAAAAAATACGTGTCTAAAGTTTTAAATTAATTTACCAGACGGACATTACAATAAAATTTAGGTAACTACCCTATTCTAAACTCCTTGTACTAATAAAATCCCAATAGTAATTTGCCCGACATCGATCAACTAAGGCAGTGCCCAGTAAACGTATAAAACTCTGAAGATTTAAGTTCCAGTAGCAGTTGTATAGAGCGCTATGCATTGAATTGTAAAATTTGTAGAACGTGCAAGCCAGCGGCTTCGATATTGCTGCAAACGATACCGCCTCACATTGATATCTTTTGCTATATTTTCGAAAATACCACTTTTATTTGGAGTATCGAAATACGTGATGTAGTATTGGAAGTTTATTTCTTGGTATAAGGAAATCTGCAGGCGTTTTTGGTGCGACAAAAAAGTGTTTGTGTGATTAATTATTAATTTTCGGCTTACTTATGTAACTGTTGGCCGAGGAACTCGACTAGTTTCAAGCCATGCTAGGGTGTTAAGTGTGGAAGAGCCATGCTTCGGCACGAATGGGATGAATGGAATTTGAATGGAATTGGGAAGACCGGGGAGGGGTGGATCGTAATTGGGCCTTCGATGACCTCACTCACACGACGAAATACAACATAAGCGTTGTTTCAACGTCGGTTTTCTGTGAAGCCGTGGTATCACTCCGGTCGAGCCGGCCCATTCGTGCCGAAGCATAGCTTTCTCACACTTAAATCCATTCGTCAAATGACGTCAATTCAACCTAAAAACCATTTTAAGAAAAAAAGAAACCAAAAGCCCCTTCTTCCCTATTTATAGGTGACTTACCTTGATAGGCAAATGAAATAAAGAGTAACTGTAAGATTTGTCGGATTTACGCACTATAGAGAATTGCTCTGTATAAACTAAAGGCGTAACTTAAATATATATAACTACTTCTCATAAATTCAACAATAAAAAAATATGTCAATAAGAGGTCATGGGCAATTACTGTCATGGACTGTAAGCAATCATGGGTTACAACTTTGAATCCTGGATTCAGTAAAGGGGCGGAGTCGCGGAGAACTCGGAGTCGCAAAGAACCTAACGGGTAACCGGGGCCTCGGCTCGACGTGCAGGAGAAGGTTCGGGGTGGTATTTAGTCAGTAAGAGTCTGACACTCCCTCCCGCCTCACCAGGCGGAAGCAGTCATTCGATGATTTTCCCCCCTTAAAAAAAATGGGGCTATGCCATTGGTGCCCAACATTATATTAACGCTTAGCTTCTGCCAGCGGTTTCGCCCGCGATCCTGGGGTAAAAAGTAGCTCAAGATTATAATCTAACTCTGTTCCAAATTTCATCCTATAGTTCCTTCGAACGTTTTCATGTGAGTGAGTATGAAACATACACACAAACAGACATAATATTTTCTCACTTACAATAATAGTTCAAACCAATTTCGACCTTACAGTTACAGCGTACGGTCCACAGCGAGCGATCTAACATTCGACAACCTTATATATGCATTTGGTACAGTAATTATGAATAGGGATCAAGCCGCACACTTAAATTAGTTTTTTCGTGTAGGTACCATTGCAATCGGACCGGTAGATTTTGACATGTTCAGACAGACAATAATTTCACGTTCAGAGTTCAGTGCGTATCTAGTAACACCCCCTATGATTTATTTTTTATGTATTTCCAATGAACGGAATTAATACATTTCTATAGTTTTTTTTTACGTATGTTTAAATATAAATGTGCCCGGTATATGGCAATAGGCTCACCCCCTATTACATGGAACTCATAACATAAATAGTGAAAAGCAGGTGTTACATTGTACAGTGGCATTAAGTGTCATTATGTGCACCTCTGCCTAGCCCTTCAGGAATAAAAAAGGTGTGATGTTATTTTATGTATCATATTCCAACAAATCCGTTTACAAGGCATCAATTTAAACTTAGTTACTAACCTACATACAAGTACATAGGTACATATAGCGTCATTAGACATTTTGCAAGCAATATACAATTTACTTAGATGCCATTACAGTATCTTATGTACACAAAGCACCGCTAATTAGTTAGCGGCGCTACACATCGACACAACTATCATTTACACAATATACATGTGTGGGTAATTTCATATCAATAGATATGTATAGAAACATTCGTCTATCACACACATCTTGGTATTTAAAAATCATTTTTGTGTCGGTATACGCAATAATTTAGTAAATAAGTTTAAATAAAAACGAGGGTAAAGATAAAATTACTCATAACAAACTTTGAATAAATCGAAATCAAAAATAATGAACGATCGAGCTATACAATACCCATATAAATATAGTGCTTTCTCATTGTAATTTTATGTTACTGAATGATATAAAATATTTCGATGATCTCATTTACAGCGCGCTTGGCGCAATGGTTATCGCCTCCAATTGTCAAGTAAAGTGCCGCCGGATCGATTCCAACATTCACATGTTGTTTTAGAATTAATTTATCAAATATTTGAAATTTGAAATTAGAAACAATTAAATCTTTTCTTTTTTTTCCTTTCCTATTGTTCTAAATCTTATGTTAATTTTAATAGTAAATACTTTAGATTTATTTATACCTATAATATCTTTTATTTATATTTTAGTTCTAGTTATTTATTATTTAGAATAATCTCATTTGCTTCATGCATTTCAACCAACTTAAATAAGATAAAAACAGTAAAAAAGTAATTAACTGTGATTTCTTAATGGTTCGATACCTGAGTATATTTGCAATGTTTGTGGCGACCATAGAAATCTCGAGTCATTTTATTTTACACGCTTATGAAGTAACTACCGACTATTTAAAACATGTTTTTCAAATCACCCGACTTACAAAATAATTGCGTTCTTAGTTGTCAATTTATGAGGATTTCATAGTTTATTGCTACACTACTTATATTCGTGTGCAAAGTTATTTTTATTTTTACAAGATGTTCCAACACCTATCAACATTTAAAAAGGCTGAAACCATTGTTTTGCATGAGCAAAACATAACTAACAATAACTGAAATAGCAAGGCGTTTAATGATATCGGTGAGTAAATAAGATACTACGTTGATATTCTAAATAATATTTATTTCATTTTGTAACTCGACACACCTATCAATTTTTGCACTAGAATAAAATAATTATTGCAACTTATTATGAAGTTCAATATTATAAAGATATATTAATAATTTATTATTAATTGTATTGTAACTTGACTTGTTTTTGTTAGGAGTGTTTCTTTAAAACATATCTGGTTAGGGATTTTTATTCCTTACGCCACTACTTAATTATAA